GGGAATATATAGGCGGGCGCGTACCTGGGAGCGGCACTGGGTTCTCGGCGCCGAGCACCAGCAGAGCCTGAGCCGCAGCGAGAGACCCGCACAGCCCCGCCGGGACATGATCCTGCCCTGCGCCCTGGTGGCCGCTCTCTTGGCTGCCAGCCACGCAGGTGAGTCCCTTCTCCTCCCGCGGCAGGAGGGGGTCTGGCCGTGGGTGACTTGTGATTCATACCATCAATCGGGACTGTCTGTCTCTTCAGACGTGGAATGGATTTTTTTTTTTTTTTTAATGTTCTATATTCTCTTGTGATTTCTCGATTCTATATTCTCTTGTGATTCTCGAATGCTTGATGTATGGTAGAAACTATGTCAGGCCTCCATTGGCCTGAGATAATCTAACCCTTCTGAGGAGTTGCTTTGCTGTCAGGAAACACAGACAAATTCCTATACTTTTGTTAGTAACTATTACCTGTAGCAGCCCAAAGGCTAGTGTGAATGGATGCTCGCTCTCAGTTGGCTTCCTGATAAGCATTAAACTTCAGGGCGCTGTCCACCTAAGTCTGAAAAGTTAGCCTAGTGAGACGAGAATACCGGTGTAGCTATGTAAGATGCTAATCGGAGCATTTGGTTTCATTCTAGCCAACCCTTGCTGCTCAAACCCCTGTCAGAACAGAGGAGTATGCATGACAACAGGATTTGATCAGTATGAATGTGACTGTACAAGGACAGGATTTTATGGGGAAAACTGTACGATACGTAAGTATCTTAAATCTCTTTCCATGGAAAGGAAAACTGAGAATACAGTTCCAAGTCTGCAGATTATTCTCAATAGCTAATTTACAATAATCTTTCCATCTATGCTAACAGCGGAATTCTTCACGTGGCTGAGGCTAACATTGAAACCTTCGCCGAATACTGTCCACTACATCCTCACCCACTTCAAAGGAGCCTGGAATATCATTAACAACATTCCCTTCTTACGAGATAATATTATGAGATATGTATTAATGTGTAAGTATGAGTTCTCTCTTCTAGTCCTCTTAACTGGCAGAAGTTACTCATAGAGCTCCAGAATATTGAACTTGATTGTCTGTATATAAAGTTAGCAAGCTAAAATGCACTAAGGTAAAAGTGCTCTAACCAAAACTTAAGATTTGTGCATGATGCAGACTTGTATGAAACATGCTTTGAAGTGGAAATGCATTTTGTTCTAGCCTCTAATAGAATCCAGGATTCTGCTAGCATAAACTGTGCACTAAATTGCTCATGTTAATGGTTGGATCCAGCTGACACTCCAGGACCCAGTCCAGTTATTCAGTAACTATCACTACCTGATAGGTGTAGAATTTTTCAATGCAACTGCTGCCAAAATATATGGAAAAGATCTGGTATTGTGATTTACTTTCTGAGACTAAAATGTACAGTTTAAAAAGAAATTGAATAACTTTTTTTTTTTCTTTTTCAGCAAGATCACACTTGATTGACAGCCCACCAACTTACAATAGTGATTACAGTTACAAAAGCTGGGAAGCTTATTCCAATCTTTCCTATTACACAAGAAGCCTTCCACCAGTGGGACTTGACTGTCCAACACCAATGGGTGTTAAAGGTAGGGAATAAACCAGATGTGTAATGTTCACTTCTAGGAATTCCTACTTGTCCTCTTAGAAAATACCATGAGACCTGCCTGTCTATAACCATTTTTCAGTGTAGTTGACTTTAAGAACAGCCGTGTCTTGGATACGCTGTGTAAAGACCTAAAGGATAACTATTCTGGTTTTCATTATTGAGTTAAGTGCTAAAACCAGGGAGTTTAGAAGTTTCTAATAAGATCAGGAAAGTGAGCATAGAAAAGAGATAATTCCCCTTATTTATATGCTGCTATTGTTTAATAATACATTGAAAGTCTTAAGCCTTTTTGTTGTTAGGAACAAAATTAAGTATTGCATAATAAAGTTGTCTTGAATATATCACTCTTTCTTTCTCTTGCAGGTAAGAAGGAGCTCCCAGATTCAAAGCTGATTGTGGAGAAGTTTTTGCTAAGGAAAAAATTTATTCCTGACCCACAAGGCACAAATGTGATGTTCACATTCTTTGCCCAGCACTTCACTCATCAGTTCTTTAAGACAGACCAAAAGAAAGGACCTGGCTTCACCAAAGCTCTCGGCCATGGGGTACGATCATAGCTCTGTAACTTGGTTCTTACAGCACTTAGTTCTTAGGTGCTACTAAGCAGCAAGAATGGTATCCTCCAGGTTGTCAGGGTACGCAAACACCGGTGCACATACTGTACAACACTTTGCCACAAACTGAAGGGCTTACCTCTTTTTTAACTTCTGAAATTTTGCCTAAGGAGGACTCAATAGCATCTCTTCCTGAGTTAGAACCACTTGTGCAAAGCACATGATTCTGTTTAAAATAGCTGCACAGTGTTCTCTGACTTTTTTTTTATCGTTCCCAAGAATCTCTTCACCTGAAGCATGTTAGATCAGTGAGCATCTGGAACTTCTCTGGACTCTTTTTCTGTCAGTTGCAAGCACTGTAAAGTATCTTGTGTGCTGCTAATTGAAGAGGCATAGTTTAAAAAGAACTTCAAAAGCAGATTTAGGGTCTTTATCAACAAGACAGGCAGCCTTTGGACAAAGGAGTTCTTCAATATAAGTGTAAGGTGTCTATCTGAAACAAAGCTATAAAATAAGTGCCTATACAAAGAGCTGTCTGCATAATAGAAAGCTGCTGACACTTTAAACAGTCCTTTTAAATCACCAGTCAATTTGACAACTTGCTGTTATGCAGAGATGGCTCCAGTTGCCAGGGAATAATTTGGCTCCATCTTAAATATCAGTGCATGATATTTATAAGGTAACAGTAATATAATTAAAAGGTAAACATCTAAGGGACAAACTCCTATGGGCCTCCATAGAAGTGGGAAGTATCCTAAAATAGCAAAAAATGCAGGCTGGCGTGATGTTCCAAATGCTTTTATTTTATAGGTTGACTTGAACCATATTTATGGAGAGACTCTGGAGAGACAACTTAAACTGAGACTTCTAAAGGATGGAAAGCTAAAATACCAGGTATATCTTACCCCAAATTCCTGCCTTCTTATTGGATGACATACACTTCCTGAAACCAGTGCTCTTTGCATGGTGTAGTTGATCTAAAGTGTAAGCTTAAAGTCGGTACTAACAGAGTCAACACAGCTTAACTCATAAGCATCATTGCTTATGACTCTGTTTTTTTTCTTTCTCCTTCCCGGCAGATGATTGACGGAGAAATGTATCCACCAACGGTGAAGGACACTCAGGCAGAGATGATCTACCCTCCTCATGTACCTGAACACTTGCAGTTTTCTGTCGGGCAGGAGGTGTTTGGTTTGGTCCCAGGCTTGATGATGTATGCTACAATATGGCTGAGGGAACACAACCGGGTCTGTGACATCCTGAAACAGGAGCATCCAGAGTGGGATGATGAGCAGCTATTCCAAACTACTAGACTGATACTGATAGGTGAGTGTCATTTCTACTACATGCAACTCTAACCTTCTCTCAAGCATGACACTTCTACCGATTATCTACTGCAGTTGCAGTAGGTGTAGTAAGAGGAAAAGCTATTACTTAAATTAATGTGTGAGGGCATACATTTGAGCCTTCATGACCTGTCATTGGGATTGTATTGAGATACAGCTTTCTCCCAGCTGTGTTAAAGACAGAACTGAAGAAAATTGAGCTAAGTGATACTTGATTCCCTTATCTAAGGGAAACAGAACTGAAAGGAGCAAAGAAGCAGGAAGCTAAGGTTCACTTCTCAAAGCATGTGAAGCTAGATGACCTCAGAGTCTCAAATCTTGTGGGGATTTTTGTGTCTTGTTTGTTTTATCCCCAGGGTTGGGTCAGTTCAGGCATGCTTTAAACACAATCTTTCTTTTAAGTCTAAAGTTCAGGAAGCTATGTAAAATGTAATTCTACATACTACTTCTAACTGTTCAGTGGTATTTTGTCTTAAGTAAATGGTGATGTACGCTAAGGTTAAAGACTTTGCCCAAACTGACTGAAACAGGAAACAAAGACAATTGCATTAAGCAGCTCAGAAGCTGGGAGTTGCTTTCAGATGCCAACATTCTTCATTATCCCCTACCTCTATCCCTCTATCCTAGAGAGTATTGTATAACTGAACACAATATAGACCCTGATGTGTGCTGTTCTGTGGAACGTACAAGGAAGCATATCTTGGGCGGGGGTGGGGTGGTGGTGTGTTGGGCTAGAAAAAACACTTCTTTACCATAGCCAGAAACTCTTGGGATCTTATGTACTGTTCTACCCCTCAGTAACAGAAAATATGTGAATTACTTTATAGAAGAGATTACAGAATGTTGAAGTGTTTGTTATCCTGATCACAGTAGGGGGTTTTTTTTGGTGTTTTTTTTTGTTTGTTTTTGGGTTTTTTTTTTAGAACAGTTCAGAAATAGTGTTTTCCATCAGAACAGGGTAACAACACAAAGTTTCTCAGGGAACCAGTATCAATGTTGTCTTCTGTTTCATTGACCAACAGGAGAGACAATAAAGATTGTTATTGAGGACTATGTGCAACACTTGAGTGGCTACCACTTCAAACTCAAGTTTGATCCTGAGCTGCTGTTCAACCAGCGCTTTCAATACCAGAACCGAATAGCAGCAGAATTCAATACTCTCTACCACTGGCACCCACTTCTGCCTGACACTTTCCAGATACATGACCAGGAGTACACATTCCAGCAGTTCCTCTACAACAACTCTATAATGCTGGAACATGGCCTTTCCCATATGGTGAAATCTTTCTCCAAGCAAAGTGCTGGCAGGGTAGGTACTTTCTTAAGTTGCTAGTGAACCAACAGAGACACAAACTGGCAGTGGGACAAGGGGATAGAATAAAGCTATCCAAAACTAATTGTATACTATAAACTTCCTCGTTAATCTTGTCAGGAGATCTTACTACTTTTCATCTTTATTAAATAGGTTGCTGGTGGGAAAAATGTTCCTGCTGCAGTGCAGAAAGTAGCAAAGGCTTCAATTGACCAAAGCAGACAAATGAGATACCAGTCCTTGAACGAGTACAGGAAACGCTTCATGTTGAAACCATTCAAATCATTTGAAGAACTTACAGGTAACAGTTTTCATCCTTTCTAACAAGGACCCCTTGCTTAAAATGGCTAATGGAGTCCTCCAGTTTTATTACTGGACTTGAAATGGATAGTCTTGCAATGAAAATAGGGATTTTTCCACTTACGATTTTTTACTCATCAATAATTACAGGAGAAAAAGAAATGGCAGCTGAACTGGAAGAGCTTTATGGAGACATTGATGCTATGGAGCTGTACCCAGGCCTTCTCGTAGAAAAGCCACGACCAGGTGCCATCTTTGGTGAAACAATGGTGGAGATCGGAGCACCATTCTCTCTGAAAGGACTGATGGGAAATGCTATCTGCTCACCTGAGTACTGGAAGCCTAGCACTTTCGGTGGAAAAGTGGGCTTTGAAATAATCAATACTGCCTCCTTACAGAAGCTTATCTGCAACAATGTGAAAGGCTGTCCTTTCACTGCTTTCCACATCTTAAATCCTGAACCCACAGAGGCAACTATTAATGTTAGTACCTCAAAAACAGCAATGGAAGATATCAACCCCACACTACTACTGAAAGAGCGATCTGCTGAGTTGTAAAAATCCATCTATTTATTTATTTAACTATATAATTTATTCTATTTATGCCTTAAAGTGTTTAAAAACCAAAGAAACAAACAAACAAAAAAACAACCCTTGAGCATCTTCATTGTGGGGGTTGCTCTGGATTCCTTACTTAGGTAAGGCTTCCATTTACAAAAGGGATTTTCTGTGTTTGAGCTCTACAGTGGTGAATCCCTTGTTTAAAGTCTTCTGTAACAGAACTGCGTATTCCAAAGTGGACAAAGGTTCCAACTTTTTTAAATGTTCTCTTAATACTTGACAAAGGGTGGTGGTGGGTTTTTTCTTTTCACTTGATAGGTCACATAACACTACAAAAGCAAGTTATTGCCTCAGCAATGTCTTAAACTTGAAAACAAGCCATTGAACTAAAAGTACAAGAAAAATTTGACTTAAACTGCCAGAAAATGTTATGAATTTAGTATGAGCACCCCAAGATTAACAAAAAATACATATACTTGAGACTTGCTCATCTATGTAAAGTCAGAAAATGCATTGCATTTATTGTTGATACTACCTCGCCCTCATTGCAAATAAGGCACTTTGTGTAGTAACTTATATGTTTGTTTTTATATGTAAATTGACTTTCATATGGCATTATAGTTTTTAAAATTAGTTATTTTAAAAAAATAGAACTTCTCTTGGATCCTACTTGGTTTTGAAGCATATGACATAGAAGTATTACTTGTGTAAGAGGATGATGATAAGGTACTGAACTTAGAAGTAACTGGTTCTGAGGCTGCAGTACAAGGCTGCTTGTATTTTGATATGGATGTTTTATTATGCAAGTTTGGGAACGACTTAGACTTAGTCCAAAGTATTGGTATTCTTTTCATAGCTATAGTTCTCTAGTCTAATTGATAATAATTTTAATCTGTCACTTTAAGGACAAATGGACAGTATAGTTTTAGTTAAGGATGTGACTAGTATAGCTTTGTGTACCCAAAACACAGAGATTATTGGGGAATAATGAAAACTGAGAAGCTGTGTGAATCTATACAGCAGTGAAATGTGTACAGAATAGATCTAGTAAAACTTCAAGGCATCAAGACTTGAAGGTACCTTATGTCTGTACGCAGGCCATACTTGTGACTTACTGTTCTATTTATTGGGGGGAGGAGGGATAATGTTTTGTTTATAATTTATAAACAGAGGCATTTTAAGTAAGTGGCTTAAGCTTGATTAAAGCTGGCTAGCTAGCACAAAATCTCCTAGCCATATTTGTCCTGATTTAACACTAAAATATCTAGTTTCATCTGGGTACGTAAGAAGTTTCACGGGATCTTGTACCAGCACTTCAAACTTTGCATATAAGGGTATCTTTTTTTAATTTCTAGAGAGGAAATGTAGAAGACGATCTTCCCATAAAAACAGCTGGGGAACTATAGGTAAAAAGAAAAAGTCACTTCAGACTGGAATAGAGCAGCAACCTGGTATTCTGTGCCCCTGCCCCAAATTCCTTGACTACTTGTGGAAAAAGACTTGAGTTACATATTTCATCTGAATTTCTCAAAAGTTTGTAGAAGCCCATGCATTCTGATGGCTATGGCAGTAGTATAGCTTGGCTGTGACTTCTGTTTCTGTTGATTGTTTAGAGACACCAATTACCTTATGCTGTCTAAGTCTGGAATTGTTAATGTGACTAGCTAAATCAAGATCTCCAATAGCAATCAATACCAGTGACTGATTTGAGGTGGTCTTTGGTATGAATGCTTTGGGAGAAAGAAGGGCATTTGTTTTCCTTTTTCTGTTTGAAGCATGAAGAAGGGAAAAAGTTAAATAACCTTGTATTAAAGGATGGTCAGTACTGTATGTGCTAATGAAAACTGCTTGGACACTTGTTAAACATGCACTTGTCATTCAGATCCATCTTTGGAACACACTTCAGAGCACCTTTCTACTATTAATAAGGAAAAGTGTTTGGCTTAAAGTCAAAGGGAGACAAGTCTGGACAGATCTAGTTGTTTTGGGGTAGGTAAAGAAGAGTTCCTCAGACCATGTCATTTGAGTTAAGTTATAAGCTGCTTCAGAAAAGAATCATGTTCATTCTGTGTTTTGTGCTCTGTAGCCACATTTCAAGTGTCACTTATCTGTGACCCAACCTGCTGGGTTTGGCTGGGTTCAAGTTGCTCATGACAAATATGTATGTTTGAGATTATTTATTTAAGATTCTGTGAATTGTTTTTCACTTTATTTTTGTAGGGCAAGAATATTTTTAAAATGCAATTGTTTATATAAATAAATTGAAAACATTACCTGTATTGGCTCATTTGCTTGTGATTTCCTTCAGCACTATTTAATATGAAACCATTACCACTCAAGATTAAATGGAGAATTCCAGGGAATTACTGACAGCATTAACTTCTCTCATATCTCAAACCCAAGATACCCCTAACATACAGGTATTTTTTCCCTTTGGTTACCAGTGAAAAGAGATTTCACTATGATGTCACTAGAGAAGTCACCAGCTATTCACCACAGTGAAGATGTCAGTACTGCTATCTTGAATACCTAGGTGCTCTAGAGGGAAAGCATAATACTAGAGTTACACAACACCAAGTTTCTGTAATCAACCTCCATTCATTACTAACGAGTGCCAAGACTTTCCCAAGCAAGAGTAGTCCATAGGCATTTCTCTTCAAGCTTAGCACACCCCAGAAGGGAAACTGCTTTGGGATACAAGTAACTACTGGACAAGGTCTTTGCACTTGAGCATGTTTTTAGCGGGGCTATCTTGTCCCTATTGTCAGATGGCAAACTCTGAAGCTGTGATGGCCACTTCTTCATTGACTCTTACCTTTGCCTAAGCATCTTGCTTTGTTGTCTCCATCACAGTTATTGACTAACTTTGCAAAGAGTGATGCAAGCTGGAAAGATGAGCAGTGAGGTTAGCACAAAAAAAAAGAGGCAGGAATTGCATGAGTTGGTGCAATGTGTTCCTCTTCTACAAAGAGTACCTCTGAGGCTACCTAG